CGACACTCCCACCACTGCTCGTATTTATCCTTGGAGCCCGTGCGTAGTCCGTCACTACTCTCCCTTCTACTCTACTTTACACTACGCAGACTACTCTCTCRTTCTACTGTGCCTTCCCCTTGCTACTAACTATGATACAGGTATCTAGTCCCTTTCCTGTCTATCATCCATGGTTTCCCCGGTGRTGTTTCCGCCCGTACCCTCGGGTGGAGATGATTCTTCCCAATACTGCATTCSTGYGTTTCCCATTTGCCCCTACCACCRCCATCGTTCGGAGAAGCTCAAACYCTCAGGTCTCTGCACCTTATCATCTCTTCCCKTCCGTCMTGTCAACCTCTGGCACTTCCTACATRAACTTCCCAAAGATACCCCTTGACAGYCGTYGCAAAAGGAGTCCGACAAAAATAGCRATCGACTGGATCGCTTCCCTACCCKTTGGACAAAGATCCGGGTGTACTCAACTGGTYGGGTCCCACTCCCSTATCTGTGATCTAAGATCTACTTGGCAGATGCCTCAAAAACGTATATRCGTACYTCTGACACATGCCGGCTCAAAAAAGAACCAACAAGGACCAAAAGGGAAACCAAAAAAGGGCCAAAAGGGAGGCAGAAAAAAACAAAAAACTTAGAAAARTATRCCCTTCYGAAAGCTCCAAAAAACAAGACTTTTTTCACTCTGCTTCTCAGTGCCCCACTCCCTTATATCCGGGTCATAAATCTTACGAGTCCGGGGTATTCAGTGGGGAGGTAAACTCCCCACAGACCGCCGGACAGCCTGGCAAACTTTGCAAGGGCTCCCAGAGAGACCTCCGGGGGGTACCCCCGGAGGCAAGTTTCCATGATCAGGGCTGCAATAGCGGCTTTCATTGCTTCATCCGAATTCGACAATCGCTGCAGTCTTACCAATGCTGCGAAGACCGCCGCTTTCTTAGTGGACTTCTTTGAGAATGAATTGAAATCCTGCATGGATTGCACCCTCAAACCCATTCCTTGCCTGAGGAAGGTCTGATTCCGAGTCTTTGGATGAATCCGGACTCTGATTGGATCCATGAGCACGAAAATTCTGGTACCCAGGAAATCGAACGCGTTACTCCCTTCATCCTTCCGGATCAAAGTCAAGCTTCTATTATAGCATGATTCAAACCCCTCCCTCACCCTGTGGGCTGCTTGGTCGGATTCCGTGTCTCCCAAAGGGTACGCCACCAGAGTTGTCACATCATCAATCATACGTAACCCCCCTCACTAATGCTCGACTCGCCCCTAGTGAGTTCACGAATGCTGACTCCGCTCTAGCACACACTAGGCACGCCAGAGCCGGACTGGAGTTCCTCCCCATGGAAATCCCGAACTCCTGTTTCAGAATACTCCCGGCACACATTACATACGTATTCTCGAGTTCGAACTGGATGATCGACCGGATCTCAGCAAAGGATAGATTGACAAATCCTTCCCTCTTGCGATTCAATCTCATCATGGTACATACCTTCCCCCTGAGACATACCCTCGCTCCCATAAATCCCTTCGCAGCACTCAACTGAGTGATCCAATCTACGGCATTTAGCACGCTGCTGTGTGATAGTTTCGCGAACATATCTTAAATATCATAGCTAGCTGCTATCACCCCATCTGCTAATTTCCCCAACTCCCGTTCGATCTTCCCCATTGTTATGACCCTGACCAATTTCGAGATACACATCCACTGGAAAGTACAATGCCATCCAATTGCAGAAAGAAATGAATGAACTTGAGAGGAGAGAGGAGTAGAAGAAGAAGAAGAATTTAGAAAGAAGAAGAAGTAAGAAAGAAGAAGAAGAAGATGTACACCAGCAAAGACAATGACAAGGCTCTTCTTCTTCGCCCAACAATCTCCTCCTCCTTATCTCCCCCTTCTCTTATTCATACAAGAAATAATAATACAATGTTGAATGACTGGTCCAGAATCATGTCCGAGTCCCTTTTCTACTGCAGGTATCACTCAAGGTCCTCCATAGCCATGGCCGCCTCTCCCACTCTTCACACGCATAGGCCGAGGCTATGGCGGACTACTAGGCTTTGCTCCGATGTCCAAAGGACAACGCAGAGCAGCTATGGCTGCTCCACCTCAGGCCGCCATGCCCAGCCCTGCCTTGAAGCTTCTTGGTGTAGCTCCCCCAGGCTGGGGACTCCTTGCAGCAGCGCCCACYAAGGTGATGAAGATGGCTGYCACCATAGCCAGGTAAGTACCCCTGGCGCTCCTCCCCCTTCCTCCTCCCTTCCTCCTTCTTCCTCCCTCTAGTCCTTCTTCTTCCTCCCCAGCAGCGCAGCTCCAACCCAGCGYTGCTCCCTCCAGCGCTCCACCAGTGCGTCGCCAAACTTGCACACCGAAAAAGAGGCCRGGTCTTCCGCCCGCCGGAAGATATAGCGGCCTGCTTTGCCTCCTGGGCGGTGACTTCCAGGCCGCTGGCCTTCCCAAGCAACCGGTACCTCCTCCTCTTTTGGAGGGAACATCATTGCAGAYTGTGATATTGCCCCTACAGGCCCTAGACTCAGACTGGTACTCGCTAGACCTAGCCTACACTACCGGCCTCAAAAAAATGCCACTTTTGTCTTCTTCTGCTCGGCCTCYGGTACCTGCATATTTACCCCCCTGCCGGGTGCGGTACCGGCCTACCCGCTACTTGAGTGSTTTTTCCCCGCTGCAACCCTTCGAAGCCACGGCCACAGGTAAGTACTGGCCCTGAGGGCCCAACGAACGAACAAGTGCCCTGGCGGGCCACACACACACACACTCATACCAACCAGCACTTAGACAGGCACAGTCACACACGCAAGCCAACCAGCACTCAAACAGACATCCCTGTCTCTTATACACATCTAGATGTGTATAAGAGACAGGGTAAGTACTGGCCCTGAGGGCCCAACGAACGAACAAGTGCCCTGGCGGGCCACACACACACACACTCATACCAACCAGCACTTAGACAGGCACAGTCACACACGCAAGCCAACCAGCACTCAAACAGACATGCAGTCCAGCAAGCACACACACACAGACTTAGCAGGCGGGGAACTCAGTAGGGCATTCAGTCTATGAGCAAAACTCAGAAATCAGCTGTGTGTTTCAGTCCGTGTTTGGACGGGTTATCACACTACTCCCCCCTCAAGAGCGAGGTCCCTTCGAGCGAGTAGCTCATTCTGAGTCCTCGGCAAACGCATCGTGGGCGAGCAAGGCAAAGAGATTCTTGGAATACTCTGTTGCAGAGAACCTTGCTGAGATCTTCGGTGTGGCGTTAGCGGCGATCTGTCGCTCGCAAGCTTTAACAACGTGCGGTGCGCTGCGTAGCAGTTCCTGTTTGGAGATCCAGTAGAGATCATCTAATGGGTGATACATGAAATGAACCTGGTACTGTCGGTTTCTCCCTTTACCTACATGCTGTTTAATTCTATCCATCTCATGCCCGCCCTTGATTGCGCGAGGGATCATATCTTCGCGGTAATCGAATGTCTCGGCATCACGATGGAGGTACAGTTTAGATGCATGGAACACAGGATATGTGCGCAGGTGAGCTGGCACGTCTACAACGTACGAAGGGCCAAAGTGATCTTCCCCAATTACATCCAAAACTTCCCAAGGCCCATAGTAGAGTGGGAGGAGTTTGCGTGAGACTCCCTCCTCTGAGAATTCAGACATCTTCACCCAGACATAGCTTCCTACCTGGATCTCCGATGGTCGGCGCTTTTTGTTTGCATGGTGGATCATGGCATGTTGTCGCTTGGTCATAGCTGCAACAGCAACTTTGAGCAAGCGATCATACTTAGCCGTGAAGCCGGGCCTGTCGGGTGTTAAGCCAGCGGACTGCTCAGGGAATAAGTAGGAGAGCGGATTACGAATCTGCCAACCATAGTGCAACCTGTTGGGTGTCATGGCGGTGGCAAAATGGACAGAGTTGTTGTACAACCCCTTGACAGAGTACAACTTTTCATCCCATGTCTCTTGATCCGGAATGATCAACGCACGGAGAAATTGGAATACAGTCTGGTTTATCTCCTCAGCCAAACCGTTGGCTTCGGGGTGTCGGCCAGATGTCATGCACAGTTTGATTCCTAGGTGGGATGTGAAATCCTTCCATTCAATGCTAATGAAACGCGGATCCCGATCGCTCACAAGAGTCTTCGGGATTCCGAATTGCAGCAGGTATTTCTGTTGGAATTCGTGAATCACTAGATCTGTTGGGGCGTGGGGCGGCAAAGGAATCAGATTGAGAAATTTTGAAAATCGGTCAACAATCACCATGACTTGTGAATACCCGTTCTTGCTTACCTTACCCATATCAGTGAAGTAGATGGAGACAGACTCCCCGGGACCATCAGGAATGGGTAGGGGTGTGAGTAGCCCCATGGGCTTTTGTCTGCAAGGTTTGATTCGTTGACAGACTTGACATTCAGCCACAAATTTCTCAGCAGTCCCTTTCATGCCAGGCCAATCAAACTGTCTCAGTAGGTTAGCGTACGTTTTTGCCATGCCGAAGTGCCCGCTCCGGCCATGAGCCAAGTCCAGAAAGTGTGTGCGGAGAGGCTCATGGTTGGGCACACACAAACGGTCATGGTTCCCGTAACGAAGAAAAATCAGTACTCCATACTCGTGGAAATCAGGTTGACTACTAGGATCAGCCCGGATTCTTGGCTGTCTGCTCTACGAGCTCCTCCTTCAGTTTCTTTCGGAGGTCGTAGGATTTCACACGGCAAGTCATGTACTCAGGGTGGCGAGACAATGCGTCAACGACTCGATTATAACAGCCTTTTTTGTGTCTTAATTCAAAATAAAAAATGTCAATCTCATGGAACCAGCGAAGCAAGGTAGGGGACAGAGTAGTCTGCTGTTTGATCCACTTCAAGGTCTCATGATCTGAGAAGACTTTGAAGTGGCGTCCCATAACGTAATGTTTCCAGTGATCCAACGCCATACGCAAAGCATAGAGCTCGCGCATGTAGGTGGAAGTGGCTACCTTTATGCTGGGCATTCGTTTGCTGTAGTACTCGAGTGGCCGCAGGCCATCGCCGTCATCTTGCTGCAGCACTGCACCGATTCCATACCGACTTACATCCGTAGTGACTATGAAGGTCAGTTTGGGATCTGCAATGCGGAGTACCGGGTAACTTACCAAGGCTTCCTTGAGAGCTTGAAAAGCTTTCGTACACGCGGCATCCCAGGAATAAGGCATATTTTTACTAGTTAGTCGCGACAACGGACGAGCAATGATAGAAAAACGGGTACAAACTTCTGATAGTACGACGTGAGACCAAGGAAAGAACGCAATTCGCGAATGTTCGCAGGCTGAGGCCAATCACGTATGACCTCAATCTTAGTTGCCTCAGGCTCTAGGCCTGCAGCAGACAACCGGTGCCCAAGATAAATGACGCTATCTTTCCCAAACTCAGATTTCTCCAAGTTGAGATGGAGCTGCGTCTTCTTGAGGATAGCGAGCACCTCCTCAAGATGCTTGAGGTGTTCCTCCATGGACTTGTTGAAGATCAGAATATCGTCCAGGTACACTACCATAACCCGGCCAATCTGTTCGCGGAGGACCTTGTCCATGAGGCTTTGGAAAGTGGCTGGTGCATTCGTGAGACTGAAGGGCATTACGGTAAACTCATAAAGCCCGTCGCGTGTTTTGAACGTAGGTTTGTGCTGGTCCGCAGGATCCACTTCAATCTGGTGGTAGCCAGATTTGAGATCGATCTTGGAGAAGACCTTGCACCCGCCTGCGGCATCAAGCAAGTCGTCAATACGAGGCAATGGATAAGCATTCTTTCTCGTGATGCGGTTTAGACCGCGATAGTCAATACACATGCGGAGTTTGCCTCCCTTCTTTGGCACAAACAACACAGGGGCACCAAATTTAGATTCACTTGGTTTTATCCACCCTTTGTCAATCATCTCATCGATCTGTCGCCGGAGTTCCTCCAACTCGCCGGGTCCCATACGGTACACGCAACCCTTTGGAGGAATAGCACCCTCGACCAACTCGATGGTGTGTCGAACCGGTCGCGTGGGGACTCCACGTGGCTCGGCCAAGACTTCCGGAAACCGATCGAGGAGGGTTTGGATGTTTGATGGGACAGGTGGGGGTGGGGAATCGGCAAAGGGATCACCAAGGTCCGGTCGCAAGTCGCGTATAGAGACGACCGAATCTGAAGTAGGATCATTTGGACTATTAGAAGATAGAGAGATAGAGGTGATAGTAGTAGAAGTACCAGAAGTAGGATTATCAATCAAAGTAGTAGTGGTATTAGCCGCAAAAGTAGAAGGCACATGAGCAGGACGAACAAAGGCAACATACAACTGTTCTTCCTCTTTGTGCTTGCGCCACTTCTTGCAGAACTTCAATGCATTCAGAAAAGTCACTAGGGATTCGTGCTTCTCATCCAAGAGGACAGGAAGCTCGTTCCCCTGGGCATCTTTGACCATGAAGAGTGATTCCTTCCACTTGGTCCATTCGCATTGGGACTGCAGCCAGCCCAAGCCAAGGACAGCGTCGAAGGGGCACTTGTCAAGGACAAAGAAATTCAGTGCATGGGTGACAGTCTTACCTCTGTCAAAGGTAGTGCGCACCTTTGACTGCATGTGTTGAAGAGACAACTTCTTTGTTGCCAACTTGGGTCCGACAAGGGTTCTGCAGGGCCACTTGCTTCATCCCCAAGCCCACTTTGTGTATCCCATGTGGTGACATGAAATTTGTTGTAGCACCACAGTCAACCAACACATGGAGATAGCGGTGGTTGATCAGAAGTTTAAAGAAGATCAACTTCACTGTCCCTTGGGCACGCTGTTGTTTCATCTCAGCCCGATGCTCCAAGTGGTAGTGGAAGTCAACCATCTCAGACTCCTCCGAAGGCTCGACATACAAGACATTACTTACCTCAGCCTTGTCTTCAGCAGATGATTGGGCTTCAGGGGAGGGTTGCTGATTTTCAACAGAACCGGACTCCCCTGCTGTAGAGTTTGTTGAATCTGACTCTACACCCGATTCTGGTTTCCCTGCAGCCTGTAACAGTTTTGAACTTTATGATTTGGCTTTTGGCAATGCAGGCAAACCCCCTTCTTGAGTCTGCCCCGCCAGTCATTTTCAGTGATCCAGAGGTCAACCCAAGGTTTGGTAGTTGCATCCTCCGGTTTAGGCGGGATCTTAACTCCTTTGGGGAGTTGGACATAGCTTTTTCTGGCACTCCAATTCGGTCCCTTAGTACTGGCAGTTTTTTTAAAGGTAGAAAAATTTTCTTCTTATTTATTTGCGTCGGACTCATGGGCTGAAGAGCAAGTTGTATCGGAGTCCTGTTCTTGGTCGTCACCAAGAGTGGGGTCACCCACATCGGCTTCTTCTTCAGCCTCCAGCAGGTCATGCACAACAAAACGGTTGCTGCCCTTGAGCCGTCTGCCGCCCATGGGCTTTTTGCTGCCTGCCGTGCTAACGAGGTCCATAGCCTCCAGACTAACTACGTTCTCCATTAAGGTGAGCCAGTCAGTGTATGCAATGTAATCCCTGCCCAGGCGACTAGTGAAGTTAGTTGGAACCGCGCCCTTAACCACATCCAAGCAAGACTGAGTGGACAATTCCAAGCCAGGAGTGGCAAACAACTTGCTTAGATAGGTCTGCAGGCTTTTCATGGAGCCATTCCACTTGTTGTGCTTTACTTTGTCTAGTTGAATCCTCGCTTTAGCAGCAACATGTGGGTCTTGGTATTCCGAGATAAGGAGCTCTTCGAGGGAGGCAATCGGGGTGGCCCTTAGCCATTTGGCTAGTGCAGCCTTTGGAAACCCAGCCCGTGTTGCTTGGACTTCTAGGAAGCCCCGTACGACTGACTCGACATTCATTCCCATGATCACTGTCTGGTTCTCAGGTTGAGTTCCCAGGATCTCAAAGTAGGCCCTCATGGAGCCGATCCAGGACTCGATGTCTTTCTTGCCATCGTACTTGGACGGTATTTGAACCATCTCCAGGTCCACATAGGGACTGGCGTGGCTGGGACCAGCAGCAACTGGTTCCGGTCTCGGGGCTGCAGCGATTGCAGAAGTTCCAGCCTCATTGCTTGTTACAACAACAGTGGAATCTGCACCTGCTGCAGGTCCTGAAGGAGTTGCCATCACACTCAAAGATGAGGTAGAAGAAGACACAGTAAGAGGGGCAGAGGTAGTTTAGATTGCAGCTTCAGTTCCAGGAGGTAGAGGAAGAGGGTTGGCCACTTGGGCTTGTCGCAGGTCAGCCACCTCCTTTGTCAAGTCATGGTACTTGCAGGTCACATCAGTCAGATCATCCTGAAGAGTCTGCAGTTTTGCAAAGACTTCAGCGATCTTAGTGGTATGGTCCTCGAGATTAAGATTCCGGACTTGAACAAAGGTTGTAAGTATGGACTGCAACTGTTCCCCGCACTGCTGTTCGGTCAGTGAGGGAACAGTCTCTAGGAGAGCTACTTGCCTTCTCAGCAAGGTCTCCTTCCTCTCCTTCTCTGACTCTTGTTCCTGTTTTATTGCACCATCTAAGAGTGCTTGGAGACGAGGTTTCTCAGCATCACTGGCTGCATCCAACAAGGCCCGCCATTGCGTTGAAGTTAGCTGGGCCATTTTTGGACTATCAGTAGGGACAAGTGGGTCAGAGAGTCGCCAGTCAGCAAAAGAATCAATCAGACTCTCAAGAGGTTCACTCCCCCTCGCGCTTTGACGAACACTCATTTTCCTAGTCCTTGCCCACTTCAGACTATCGCTTTCCCTCTCTCCTTGTTCTCTCTCCCTCCTCTTTCTCTCTTCTTTCAGATTGCGAGTCTCCACGGGCAATGAACTCAAAAAAACAGATACAGCTCAGGGAAGAGAAGGTAGAACTCCTAGCCGGAGCGGCATTTCATTTGGAAGTAGTTAACAGCAAAAGAAACATTCAAACTTAAAGAGAGGTTTGATCCAGTGACCCAGTCTGATCAGACTGCATACGAGGTCCTCTCGAGTCCAGTCTGACCAGCTCCGTGTCTGTACAACAAATCAGACAACGAGTAACTAAATGCAACAATGGAGAATTGAGTGGTGTACAGGGTGCGAGTCAAGCCACGGATGGTGCAATCAGAATACAAGCGAAACGTCAAAGCCAAGATCCCCTCGGCAGTGGGTGTCCTAATCCAATAAGAATGAACTCATATCCCACCCAAGAAGACAAGAGGTCAATGCCTAACCGATTTGGGTTCAGAGGCTCTCCTTGTTTGGGCCCGGCCCCGCTGGGTCCCAAGGGTCCCACGTAGGTCTCAACCAGGTCCCAACCAAGATGAGTCCCACCTGAACTTAGTTCAGTCTCAACTGCACTGAAAAACGAAATTTCAATTTATGGCAGAACCTACAGACTACAACCGTTCAGTGATTAAAAGACAAAGCACTGTAGAAAGACTCGTCATGTATAACAAGATACTTCATTTTCCATCCATCAGGTGAGTAGGTAGATCACATGCATATAGTCACACAATCAAGACCACAGAGGAGTAGGAAAAGAAACCCAGAGTACCCCAGCAGGACAATCAATACCATACACACATACCTGGGCATCCCTTAGGTGCACGACACTTACCTGAGTGGCCTTGAGCTTCGAGATGAAGAGAACTCACCCCCCTTCTCATATGGTCCTCCTGACCCATCTAACGCTACCCCTACACTAGTGTCCTATCTCCTAGGAGGG